AATGAACAGCAGTTATGAAACAATGACACATTTGATAATTTGAATATACATTTAATAAAAATGTACACATACCCTGATCAGATATCAGATCTACTAAATGCATATACAGACATAATTTTGTATTAAAGAGTCTTGCATAATTGTAAAATATATTAAAACACACAACACATCTAATGTCATAAGGCACTGTTATTCAGGGACGCTGAAGCACGGGAGTTTAGCCATGCTGAGCTCCCAATATGTGTGAGGTGGCTAAGGCCCCGCCCCTGCCCCCACCCCCAATAAAAAAACAACAACACATTAATGTACAGAATTTCTCCAATAATAATTTGTCGATGTGTGTGTGTGTGTGTGTGTGTGTGTGTGTGTGTGTGTGTGTGAAATTTCCAGTACATTTTTTTTTAAATTTTTAAATTATTATTATTAGGCACTTAAACAAGGCTCCCTCCTAAATTTGTATCGAACCTGTTCCATTGCATTGATAAAGTGAACGTTCTGAAGACTGAGATCAAGTGAACATTGCAACAGAACAGACTGAATACCCCCATCTGGAGAGACTGACGGCGCTGGAAGTAAGCAGAGGTTCTCAACGATTTTCTACCCACAGAGAAAGAGGGGGCAGACTTTTTTAATCAGGCTGGCACCAGCTCCATGGGAACTCTTTGTTGTCTGTTGATTGATTGATTGACTGATTGATTGATTCATTGATTCATTCATTTATTCATTCATTCATTCATTCATTTATTCACTTTTTCATTCATTCTTTCATTCAGGTACGTTACAGTGAAGCTTGAAAATCAATGAACTAGCTAAAATAAGCCTGAAGGCAGTGGTGATGTGGTTGTTCAGATGAATAAGGCAGTTGTATTGTACAGCCAAAATAGCCAACAACGAGCAGTTATATTTGACAGCCAAAATAGCCAACAACGAGCAGTTATATTTGACAGCCAAAATAGCTAACAACGAGCAGTTATATTTGACAGCCAAAATAGCTAACAACGAGCAGTTATATTTGACAGCCAAAATAGCTAACAACGAGCAGTTGTATTTGACGGCCAAAATAGCTAACAACGAGCAGTTATATTTGACGGCCAAAATAGCTAACAACGAGCAGTTATATTTGACAGCCAAAATAGCTAACAACGAGCAGTTGTATTTGACAGCCAAAATAGCTAACAACGAGCAGTTATATTTGACAGCCAAAATAGCTAACAACGAGCAGTTATATTTGACGGCCAAAATAGCTAACAACGAGCAGTTATATGTGACGGCCAAAATAGCTAACAACGAGCAGTTATATTTGACAGCCAAAATAGCTAACAACGAGCAGTTATATTTGACGGCCAAAATAGCTAACAACGACTACTTCAAGGTCAATGAAAGTATACCAGTATACACAACTGTAGGAAAGAAGCAGTGTTCTTTCATCCTGTGATATTTCGTGTTGGTTTTAGGGCCCCATTCTGGGGAAAAATAATAGGCCTCTTTGTCGTGAAAGTTGACTAATTAGGGACATTTCCTTTAAAGTCAGCGTGCATATACCTGAGAGGCGAGGAACCAACAGTCTACATACAGATAAACCAGATTTGTGAAATGGTTGTGCATGCAATAGTCAAGTTCTGAAAGAGACTGAAGTCCAGAAGTAGAGGAACAGCCATAACTTTTGGCCGGAGTTTATAACCTGTGTACTCCCTTGTGACACCGGGGCACTCACAGGAAGCAAAGAATAGTAACACTGCACCCTTCCAGCCATGTCGTAAGAGGCGACTAGGGGTGGGGTTGGGCTTGGGGTCGGCTACCTCATCTTGTAAAAACAATAGCCTCACAAAGCAACTAACCATGGAAACGTCAAAAAGAGAAACAGGAAAAACCCAGCCAACCAAGATGAGGGTAGGCTATTCTAGTTGAAGAAGTATGATATAGTGCGGAGAAAGCCGAAAGGAATTCGGATCGTCGAAGTACCTACTTTCACCTAGGAAAATCTCCAGAACTGGTATCTGAAATGTTAGAACTTTATACGATGCAGGTAGAACAATGGAAGTATTAAAAAAAAAAAAAAAAACATTATAGGATTAATATTTTAGGGTTATGTGAAACTAGATAGACCCGAGCGGGAAAATTATTCTAAATTTAGGGAAAACTATTTTGTTCTCAGGACATACAGAAAAAAATTATCCCCACAGTGAATGAGTGGGCCTGATGCCATGGAAATAAACAGAGAGGGCACTAATAGAATGGGAAGCTGTGAGTCCTAGAATAAAAAAACAGCATCATTAAGATAATCGAAACAGAAGGTGTCGGTAATACAGTGTTTTGCACAACACACGATAACGATGAATCCATTAATGTGGAAATTTTGTATGCGACTTCAAAGTTTTATAAATAATAAAAGAAAGGGCAACATACAATTTTGATAGGTGATCTGAATGCTAAGATAGGATGAGATAAAAACACGTTATGAAGAGATTATGGGAAATTCTGGAACAGAAATAACGAATGAAAATGGAGAATTATTCACACATTTTTGTGCATGAAGCTAGTATGTTATTGGCGGAAGCATTTCCCCACGCAAACAAATACATAAGGCAACATTGGAATCACTAGACCATATGAATACCAATTAAATTGATCACATATGTATAAGCAAACAATATTAGATCATCCCTGTATGATGTTAGGGCCTTTAGAGGTTCCGATGTATTCACTGACCATTTTCTGTTGGTAAGTAAAATCGTCTTGTAATCAAAGAAACCAGTATAATGTAAGTTATCTCAGGGAAAAAGAAGTTAAGGAACAATTTTCAGTTAGTCTCTAATAAATACCAGGTGTTTTAGCAGTTAACCGAAGAAGTAAGCACTGAAACCTGCTGGGATCAGATAAGGGAATTTAGAATGAATCTTGTGTAGAAGTCCTTGGTAAGAAAGAAAAGAAACATAAAGCATGAATTTCACCAGAAACTATTAAAATGATTGAAGATAGAAAAAGTAAGAAGGCAGACTTAGACAATAGCAAAACTAGAGTTGCTAAAGCTAGAGCTCAGGAAAAATACACAGAAGCTAATAAGGAAATTAAGAAGCTGGAATTGAACCTGTATCTAAAAAATACTAAGCGCATTCACAACACCTAAGCCACAGATACCGATAAGCGTGTCCGGAAAGGTGACTAATTAGGAATTTGCTGAAATCTGACGTGCTGGGCTGAAAAGTATAGATATCACAGCCTAGCTGTAATCCACAACACAGCATGTCAAATACCCTTTTAATGACGAACACATAAGTAATGTTAGAAGAAGAAGATTAGGAAGAAGAAGATGAAGAATGTGAACACATTCATGTTTGATCACAAATTACAGATGTTGAATCATACATGGCACAAATTATATTAAAAAAAAAAATTTCAAATTTAAAATAAAACTATTAAGGATTACAGTTACAATTTTGTATTTTCATCACTGAGATCAATGTGATATGCCAGGTTGGTTTTCCCTCCATTTTGAGAAAATGTATTTTCCAAATGTTTTGGCGTCTCTATATCGCTGATAATTGTGTCTGTGTCTTTTACTCCCCCATTGTGCTTTTCATATTTCTGTAAATAAAAATAAAAAAAATAAAAAAGTTTACATCAAGAAATAAGCGGTCTGCTGTAGATGTTTAATATATGTGCATACATGTGTACTACTCTTTTAAGATTTTCAAGTCAAAATGCATCTTCCATACTTTTAATCAAGCTTTTAACATTATTATAACTGTGTAGCAATGCAACGCTGTCAACGTACATGGTTGCATGGTTATTGACAGTAAGTAAGTAAGTAAATGTTACCCCACCAGGACATCACACAGAGCGATAAACACCCGGTGACACAAAGTGCCACCAAGTGGATGAGGATCATCAGTGAAGAGGTCCCAGAAACCTCGGTTAACCGTCAGGTTATATTTCGGCAAAAGCCAGGGTGGGGCTTCAATATGGGGACGACTTCTAGCTATTGATAGTAGACTGAATTACATTGTTGCAAAATTACGTTTGTCTGCCAAAAAAAAAAAAAAAAGTGTGTGACCAACATGAAATGTTCGGAAAGGTCTGCTGTAAACAGACAGTGGAATGTGTAGATTCACAAGTACTGAATCACACATGGCGGCGCAACCAGGGGCAGGGCGCACACTGATCAAGCCATATCTACCCTCTCCGGCAGTCATCATAGAAACAGGTTCCATAAGGGCCTGACAAGTGTAGACACGATTGGCTTGCTGGCAGGGCCACGGTATGTACAGAAAAAGAAATGGACCGGGCCGACATTCTCAATGCTCTCAAGGAGGCAAAACTAGATGATGGTTCAGGAGACGACGTTGAATCAGCAACACTCAAAATACTACAAGAATGTCAGGTCAATAGAGGTGTCCCTAAACACGAACACTATACAGGAAGCCAAAGAAAAGTAGTAAACCAACACAGGACTGGTGTTATCAGTCGCAACACGCTGGAGGAAATACTGAAGATGGGATCGGAGCGCTTAAGGACTTGTCCGGTGTGCAAAGAGGATAATCTTGCGACTAACTAACTAACTAACTAACTAACTAACTAACTAACTAACTAACTAACTAACTAACTAACTAACTAACTAACTAACTAACTAACTAACTAACTCACTCACTCACTCACTCACTCACTCACTCACTCACTCACTCACTCACTCACTCACTCACTCACTCACTCACTCACTCACTCACTCACTCACTCACTCACTCACTCACTAACTAACTAACTAACTAACTAAATAACTAACTAACTAACTAACTAATTACCTAACTAATTAACTAACTAACTAACTAGCTAACTAACTAACTAACTTTTAAGATTAACTTTCCTTCAAAGTCAGAGTGCATCTGCCTGAAGGGTAAGGAATCAAACGTCTGCGTACAATTAAGTTAGATTTGTGAAACAGATGTGCACACAAAATAAAACTCAGTCCTGAAACAAAAAAATCCATAAATATGAATAACCACAAAGAGACCATAACAATAAATATAAATAAAATCCATTTCTTACCCCTGTATGATCAATTCCAAATCTTAATGGCCGAAGCACACATTCGGGTAGGAAAGGAAAGATTGTGTCAAACAGTGGACATATTAGGCGAGGGTCAAGGCTAGATGGACGAGTTAGCCCTGTTGGGAAGAAAACAAAAAGTATTATAAACTAGAATTCATCCATAAAACATTTAATAGACATGTTGTATCTGTTACACTTTACACGGTTATGAGACTCTCAATTATCACTTTTTTTAAAGGGAATCAACATTATAATGTGTGGCTCCGTGGCTTTGATGTTACTGAAATCGTTTCACAATGCAATCATCAAAGTTTATCTGGGTTCGATTCCGACCGGTTGGGCGTTTTTCTTCTTCTTCGCATGCAGAGGCGGTAAACTCCTGGGGGGAAAGTTCTGGTTGTTCATCCACTTCTGAATTTTAGTTTTGTTCCAGAACTTGAGTTTTGCATGAACATCCTTTTACAGATCTGGTTTATTTGTATGCAGACTGTTGGTTCCTTGCCTTTCAGGTAGATTCACTCCCGCTTTAAAGGAATACCCCTCATTATTTGACTGTTACGACATGCTTGTTAACGGGTCAGTATGTTTATTCTTGGTTCCCAAAATAGGGCCCTGCAACCAAGACGCGACATGGGGGGAGGGAGGGGGGGTGGAGGGGGAGAGGGAAGAGGGGATTGCGAAAGAGACAATTCCCATGGCTTTCTGACTGTGGTATGAGTTGCACCTTGAAGAGATTTGGCACCACCATGTAATATTGCCATAGGAGTGGATTCATTGCGGTGGATTTATTGCGGCGGATTCATTGCAGCTAACCTATATATATATGTATGTGTATATATATATATATATATATATATATATATATATATATATATATATATATATATACGTCTTGATAGTTAAACTGGTAGGGAAGATTGTGTTGTTGTTATACTGGTAGATGACGTCTTGATAGATAAATTGGGAAGGGAGATTGTGTTGTTATACTGGTAGATGACCTCTTTATAGTTAAACTCGTAGGGGAGATTGTGTTGTTGTTATACTGGTAGATGACGTCTTGATAGGTAAAGTGGTAGGGGAGATTGTATTGTTACACTGGTAAATGATGACTTGATAGGTAAACTGGAAGGGGAGATTGTGTTGTTATACTGGTACATGACCTCTTGATAGTTAAACTTGTAGGGGAGATTGCATTGTTGTTTTTCTGGTAGATGACGTCTTGATAGTTGAACTGATAGCGGAGACTCTATTAGTTGTGTTGCTGGTAGATTTTGCGTTGATTGTTTTACTGGTAGGTGGAGATTATGTTGTTTGTTTTACTGGTAGTAAATTGCCTTAAACAGTCTACCCCTTTTATCTGTTTCTTTAAAGATTGTCCGTTTGCTTTTCTATGTGTCCTTTATTATCTGTGCAGTTTTCCCCAGAAGCCAGATTTCTTTGCAATTACATACTTCTAAGTTTGTCTATTTTGGTTCCTGTCTCACATTGCTACAACAGTACATATTTTTTATGGACACTTTCCCGTCTTTCAAGACAATAGTTTTATACTGTGCCGTAGAGGGCATGGGAATCACAGCCTATAGCAATGGCGAGTGTGACTAGCAAGGCCAGCTCGCCTTAAATCTTTCAGCCCTAAGCAACGCCCGCTGTGTGAACGATTTTACCCCCACACTCCCTTACTTCTACCATTTGGTCAGAACAATGCACAGAAATCTGGCTTGTCCAATTTGTCAGTGCAACTATGTATATTATCATTTTGAAAGTAAAGCATAAATGTCTCAGCATTATGATTATTTTGGCACTGTGGTATCTACTACGAAACCTTCTGGCACTGAAAGATTTAAGAAAAGTTTTCCACAGAACTTGGGATTTCAAGACCATCATTGCAATCAAATGTATTTAATGTGCTCCTTTTCAAACATTTAAATCTTAACCTGTTTGCAATAATTGCCTCCTAATCCATTTTCCCTTCCTTATCTCCCCCTTCCATGCAACATTCTTATATGGGCTCTATTTAGAAGTTGCAACACTCTTCTTCGACACAAGTTGACATACCTGTAAAACAGCTGACAATTAGAGCAGTGCCCACTAAGATGGTCACACCAACAGCTGTGTAGTATAAATAGGACAGCGTGTAGATGTAATCAACGCCTTCATACCTGGTAAATAAGAATAAATACACATCATCCCTGCTCTTAACTCGAATCGCCACGAACCATGGTTCATATGCCACATTGTAGCGCTATCAAAAAAGGTAAAGGTAAAGTCGGGAGATGTGAACCAGCGTCATTGCACACAGTTATAAACCATAAGTGATCTGCCACCAGTTCAGACAGCTGATAAGAAACTGTCCGCCTGTGTCGCCATCAGCACCTAACTCTGTAGCTACAGCGATGTTTCTCCATTTACCCCAAAGTGTTAACTCTGGTACCCATTTCCTAGAGGCTGGGTGAACCCCGGGAGCTGCCAGGTTTCGAACACCGACCGTCTCTGCAGCTAGTCGCAGCTGGATTTGAAAGCGAGCCACCTATCGACTGCGCTAACGCGGCTCCCTTATCACCAAGACGGAAAGCCACCACCATCAACAACAACAAAAACAGCAACAATAGCAAAACATCAATTTTCATGCCATGGGATAAACTGGAATTGTGATACCTGACTCATATTTTTAGCTTAATCTACAAGTAGAATAAGTGACAAATAATACACCAGCCATCTTTACTTCCCAAGGATTGATGGTACCCAATTTAGGTTTTGTTGACTTGGAAACCAAGCATAGGGAGAAAATCTCTTGAGAAAACATCATGAAGATTCGAATACATGTCCACTGAATCAGTAAGCAAGTGTGCTAGCCACTATCCCACATCATTCATAAATAATTCCAATGAATTATAAGAACTGTTATTGAAATTACGGATTTCTTGTAAACGTGAATCATACAGAAAATGAAAACAGGAAATGTCATAAAACAAA